AGAGAGAGAGAGAGAAATATCTTGGATGGGTTTTGGGAAGGTGTTTTGTAATGACTCTACTCCAGGGAAAATGTTAGAGGAAACATTGTGCTAATTATTATAAAACTCCCACCATTAGAATAGACCCATAGGGAAAACTCACAATCCAAAAGTCTTTTGTTTTTCTGTTTTTGAAAAATAAAGCAAATCAACAAATACATTGTAATGCTTGTCATAGTGTGTTTAATGTTTAGATTTCCAATGAGTATCTTTTAGGAGCCCCAACACATTTAATACCCTACATGTTGGTTGTATAGTCTCCTGGATCCAAAATTAGCCTCTAGGAACTATAATCAAATTATGATATAATTCGACCAGAAAATTAGATGTATGAAACCTTTAACAATATGTAATAAAATTATATTTCATAAATATTTGCAATAAACACAGACATTCGGTGTTTTTTTTCCTTAGAAATAATCTCTAAAGGACCTAAACAAAAATGAGTGTCTTATTTTTCACCCTAAAGTAAATGAACTTGAATGTTAAGAATAAAATTTTGTAACTTAAGGGCAATTTTGGAGAAAGAAAAATGTGCATTTCACAGACACCAAGGCATTTTAATTTCATGTATAATATCACAAAGACAAGTAAAAAAAATCTAAGAAGCAAACACTAAAAGTTTTATTCTTAATTGCCTACACCAAAATCAGTGGATGTTTTTCTCTGTTCATATGAAGATCCTTTTAAAGAATACTGCTGATGTGTTTGTTTTGCTTTCTCTTCTATTTGAATGAATGAACATAAAAAGCTCCTCTCTGCACAGCCTTCTTTAAAAGTCATTTCCAAATGAAGGGTTCCTCTTGCCTCCCAACTTCCTCTTCAACTGCATTTTTGGAACATCTTTATGATGTAGTCATAAAGATGAAAAGAAAATGGCATCCTTGACAATCAGAGAATAGAATCTGTTATTTTCATTTTCAGGGTCGGGAAAAAATTGGGGAAGTAATGTGGGAAGGCTAGAGAAAGAATTATGATCCTAGAACAAGTTGATTACAGACACCACAGCATGGATGTAGAGAAAATGTGTGTTGTGTGCAATGTCTTCAAAAACAGAGGCATATGAAATTGGAGTTGAATTTAGAAGTAGTGTATGTTTGAAGTGAAAGGTATGAAAAACAATGTTTGAGATCAGTGATATCAAAATTTGTCTCACCTCCCAGTTCTTTACTAAAAACCTATGAAATCAGTGTGGTAGAAAACAATTACTGACATCCTAAACTACTTTATGGCTTTCAAGTGACATGGGGGACAATCAGGGCCCCAAGATGCAAATAGTTGCCTAGTTTGCTTCCTTTCCCATTAAGGTGTGCCCAACACCCGTAGAGGTGCAACGGAGACGCCTTGTGGAAGGAATCGGTGCTGACATTCCTGGGTCACTCATTGGCAGGATTACCATCTCATTTCTCAGGGCTCCAGAAAGTAAGCTTTGACCGGACTCCCATAAAGAGCATCCCTAAACTGTGTATTGAGATTTTGTTACAGGAAGTGAGGGAGTTAACAGAGGCAAGGACACAGTGATGAGGCCAAGGTCCTTGTCCCTAGGACATATAACAATGTCAGGAAATGAAGCTAGTTGAAATAAATGGTCCTGGCAGGGAGCATCACAATTAAATTTGCTTTCCAAGTGACTTGATAAGATACCTTGGTGAGCAACAACTTCCAGATATGTAAAAGGTAAGTTATTTAAATGATTAAATATCAACACAGTGTTTTTTTTAGCACAGTCATGAATATTTGTGTAGTATTTTATATATTTTATTTCTAAACATATCAATATTAATAAATCTGGGCACTATATCTCAATTAGGAGAAGTGGTTTTTGTTGTGATAGATTTAAAGAGAATATTTTTTCTTGTCTGACCAAATGACTAAGTGATATATATATATATCTATCTATCTATATATATATATATATATATATAGATATATATATATATATATGTATTTTGAAAGTTTTTAGAAAAATGACATAAAGATACTATTATTTGGAGCCATTTCACCCTCTAAAATGTTTCTCTGAAAGTCTCAGCTACTTCCAAGGACATCATGAATAGTTCTAGTCACCCTGAAGTCACTGTAGTTTGAATAACTCATTAATTTACAAAGTGTTTGAGTCCTTTTAAGTATGATACTAAAGTTCAGTGGAAAATTAAGTTTCAGTTTTATCTTCTGAGAATATTTTATATAACTTGGTTATAGTATAATATCATATTATGATTATTTAATGTAGGAAAAATTTTAAAAACAAATTCATAGCTATATGAAAATAATGGAGTTTAGAATGTTTTTGCAGAGTTTTCTAAAACTGCTGATGTATAGAAACCCAATAAGCCAACTTATTAAAATATCTTATGAAAACTCTATTTAAATGCAGCTTTTAATTAATAATTACTTTCTTTGACATTCACAAGTATCAGCAAAGCAAAATGAGAGTTTCTACTAGTAGGAATGGATATTATTATCCTTGAAACATGTTTCTGGTTCTTTAGATAGTAGTCTAGGGGCAGAAGAAATGGTGAAAAGGCTCGGTTAATTTTATTTATTAATGAATTTATTTAAAAATGTGTTATTTGTGATATGTGCTAATACATAAAAACAACTATGTTTTTAAATTCATTTCCAGTAGATACATGTTTTTAAATGTAAATGTAAAAGATCTAAAGTATCTTATTATGTATGTGCTCTCCAGGAATCTCAGTTGTATCCTTGTTAGAGTTGTTGAACCTCTGCTCATAATCAATAAAAAGTCTAATCTAGTTAAAATGAAACTGGAAATGATATAAAAATTCATTTTTGAGAAAAAAAAATGTGTTGGTTACTTAATTATTTTTTCCAATTTTCCAGACTTCAGATAGCAAATAAACACATGAAAGGCACATTAATTAGAAGTGCCTCAGAAATGTTAATAATAATAGCCATTCAAGGAGAATTATCCAATTAAAATTTTTCATAATGATTTATGTAAATCTTAATCTATTTCAACAGCTAGTAAACATTAGATATAAAAATACATGTCCTAGATGTTTACTACATGCTTACTACATGTAGTTTATTAATTAACAATGTGATGCTGACAAAATATGTCAAAGGCACGATCTTCTGTTCTGAAATTTAGAGTTTACCTTTTATTTGTTTTAAACTCATTTATTACACAATGTGATCATTTTTAGTTTTCTGGGGCTGATAAAAAGAGTTATGATGTGTGTGTATGTCGGTGTGTGTGTGGGGGGGATTCTTACCGTAATTGCAGGTCCAGCAAAAGCCAAGCTAAGCAACATGAGGAAAGGAATTGCCTCCTGGGTTGGTTCAATATATGGCATGCTAAGACTCCGGTCATAGCAGCTGAATCCAGAGTGTACAGGTTTGAAGACATCCGTGAGTTCAAGGAAATAGAGGCTAACCACAGAGGATGCCAGTATAGGCAACTGAGAATGAAGGACATAGAAGGTCAATTTAGTCTTACATACAAGACATACAGATAATCAGTACCTCTTGAGGTAGAAAAGAGGTGGGTTTCTCCTCTTCTCTCATCACACCTGTTTGGTGTAGAATTAAATGATTCATGAGTTCTATAGTTTCCACTTTCAAAATATATCCCTAGTTCATCCATCTTTGCCACCAGCCTACTATGAGCCTCTTGTTTCTCACCTTCTAATTGGTGTTCCTTGCCCATTCTTTGCCTCCCATCCCACCCATTCATTTTCCACACAGCATTCCAAAAGTTCTTCTAAAAATATGTCAGCTTGTATTATTCCCTATCTTTAGCACTCTAATGGTCCCCATTCTACTTGGATAAAAATCCAAATGCCATACCAGGGAATGCAAGTTTCTGCCTTTTTACCCTTACTTCCATTGCTTATTCTTCTTGTACTACAATCTCATCACTCCCTGGCTCCTTGCCCATTATGGTCAAACTAGCCTTCAGTTTTGTCCTGTGACAGTCCAATTCATTCATGCTCAGGTCCTTTGCACTTGTGATTCCTGCTTTCTTTCATATTCTTTACCTGACACTTTGCATAGCAGGCTTCTTTTCATCATTTAATGATGTCATACCTCTCAATCTAGAGCAGTCTTTGATTCAATCCTCTATCATCTTGTTTGATTTTCCCCCCTGGCACTTATCCTTACAGAAACTTCCTTGTTAATTTAATATTTAACTTACTCCCCCCACCCCGCCCAGATTTCCAAATATCTTGCTAAAATAAGTGCTACACAAAATAAGAATCTATCTGTATTCTTTGTTATTAAGTTCCCAGTGCATAGAATTTTTTCTGGCACATGGTAGGCATTTAATACATTGTTTAATAATTTAATGAAGCAATAAATACTTGTTGATAAACAACTAATTGAGAAGTATAAGCCTTAATTTATTTTAATAATTAGGTTAGACTTAATAGAATTAGCAAATAATAGTACAGGTCACCCTGAAATAAAAACTTCAGATAGCAACGAATAATTTTAGTAAAATTATCTTTCAATTATTGCATGGGACAAACACACTAAAAATTACCCATTGTTTAACTGAAAGCCTAATTCACTCTTCATCTATGTATCAACTAAACACAATGTGTTTTCTAGAGTTTGTGTAGAATTTTTAAATTATTCCTTTAACCCCTATAGTGTGCCAGGCACTCTGCAGGTACTAGCTATAATATAATAAACACAACATAGGACTGGCCATCAAGGAGCATAAGTGTAGTGAGAGGCCTGCTCTCAGCTAAAGAGAAAATATTGTTAATGCTTTGCCTAATGTTAGACCTTTCAGAACCTGAAAATTCAAACTTTCATAGCATTGAAAGAATTGTTTCATTTAAGGCTTTGCTACTTGCGGAAGAGAGGATATTTACTGAGCCATATATATAGCAAAGGTGTTTTATAAAAAAAAAGTATTAAACATTCATCATTTAGTTTTTTAAAAATAAATTAACAAGATGGAATTATTCCTTTTATTCCTAAGAGGTCTCTTAGTAATGAGGCAAACATTAGGTTTGTTGGAAAAATGAGTAATGTATGATGATTAATCTGGCATTGTCTTTCTGTTTTTTAGATGGGTGATTTCCAGAGAACAGTATGCCAAAACATGTCTATTTTGTCTTATTCATGATCATTTGATCTCTACAAATATCTAATCATTTCTCCTCTCCTGAAATATAAAAGAATAGATGCTTTGGGTATTAACCAACATCAGCACTTCATGGTACAGAATTTTTCACGTAAATCCCCATAAATATATTTTTGTTTTAATTTAACAAATATTCCATATGGCACTTATTATATATGATATAATTTGCATTAATTTGATTCATTAGTAGTAAGCTCAGTTAATTTAAAATTTTCTACTGTGAAAGAAATAGGTGCTATGGCTTTCCTCGTTTTGCAGGTGTTTAGCAATCATCTGTAGTAAGTGGTAGAGGAGAATTTTGAACCCATGAATTCTAGTTCCAAATTCTTATGTCTTGGCCACTATTCTGTATCTCCTTTACAAAAATAGGAATAGAGGGTTAAGATAATAAAACACAACTATCATCAATAATGGGGGTACTGTTTAGCTTAAGACTTTCTATTTGAAAACTTTAGTTAAAAATACATATCACATTCATGTGGGATTAGGCCCCAACTTCCTTAATAAGACTCCTGTAACACAAGAATTAAAATCAAGAATCAATAAATGGGATGGATTCAAACTAAAAAGCTTCTTCCCCGCAAAACAAACAATCTGTGAGGTGAATAGATACTCTACATCTTGGGAGCAAATCTTTACCCCTCTCACATCAGCTAGAGCACTAATCACTTGGGTATATAAAGAACTCAAAAAGCTAAACACCAAAGAAACAAATAACCTAATCTATAAATGGGCCAAGGACCTGAACAGACACTTCTTAGAAGATGATGCACAATCAGTCAACAAATACATAAAAAAAATTTATCATCACTAGCAATTAGAGAAATACAAATAAAAACCACTCTAAGATTTCATCTTGCTTTAGTCAGAATGGCAGCTATTATGCATACAAACAACAATAAGTGTTGGTGAGGATGTGGGGGAAAAGGTACACTCATAAACTGCTGGTGGGACTACAAATTGGTGCAGCCAATATGGAAAGAGTATGGAGGTTTCTTGGAAAATTGGGAATGGAACCACCATTTGACCTAGCTGTCCATCTCCTCGGGTCTATACCCAAAGGACTTAAAAACACAATACTATAGCGACAGAGCCACATTGATGTTTATAGCAGCACAATTCACAATAGCTAAGCTGTGGAACCAACCTAGATGCCCTTCAATAGATGAATGGATTAAAAAAACTGTGGCATATATACACAATGTAATATTACTCAGCATTAAAAGAGAATAAAATCATTTTGCAGGTAAATGGATGGAGTTAGAGAAGATAATGCTAAGTGAAATTATCCAATCCCCAGAAAACAAATGCTGAATGTTTTCTTTGATATAAGAAGGCTGATTCATAGTGGGATAGGGAGCTAGAGCGTGGGAGGAATCGACAATAGGGCAGAGGGGTGGGAGGGGAAGGGAGGGGGCATGGGGTAATTAATGATGGTTAAATGTGATGATCATTATTATCCAAAGGATAGGTATTAAGTCACAAATTGGTGAGAATATACTATGTATACAACCAGAGATATGAAAAATTGGCTCTATATGTGTAATAAGAATTGTAATGCATTCTTCTGTCATATATAAATTTTAAAAATTACATAAAAATACATATCACTATAAACAGGCATTATTTTAAATATATGGTTTCTATAAATTAGCAAGCATTTTTTCTATTAATCTGAATGTTAAATATTTCATTTTTATACCAAATTTTATGATTCACTTTTTTCCCTCTTCCCTGGATGCCTTCTTGGGTTTTCTATATGTATTTTGCAAGTGGAAATCAAATATGAGATTTTCTGTGATCACCCAAATGATATTTGACTATTTCATTTCTAATGCACATGCCCAAGTAAAGTGAATTAGATTCTTTTGAAGAAAGGGGAACAGAATTTTACCAGCATAAAAAATCAGAAAAGAAAATAAGTTTTCCTTAGTAGATACAGATTTACCTTATGGATAACTACTTTAGAACCTGCTTAATTATGCCAAAGATATAGCCATTTCATATAGGAAATGTATATATTGATATACATTTGTCGATTCCTATTCCCTATTGTCGATTCCTCCCACGCTCTAGCTCCCTATCCCACTATGAATCAGCCTTCTTATATCATATATATTCCTATTTCATATAGGAATGAAAATGGTATTTTCTAGTGTGTGTGTATGTGTGTGTGTGTGTGTGTGTGTGTGTGTGTGCTCATACACGAGCATGTGTGCATGTGTGTGCTTGTGTGTACATATGTGTATAAGTGGTAAAGAACACTTAGAATTTTACAACTGTAGCAGAACCAATGGAATCATATGACTTTCAACACAGCATGAAGTTCTATCACCAGCTCTTTCCCTTTTATTACCAGGATAACCTTGGAAACTTTTCCTTACATTTCAGTTTTCTCATCTATGAAATTGAAACATTGATAGTACCCATCACCACAGGACAGTTGAAAAGATGAAATGAGGTATTGCAAACAAAATTCAACACATCTGGAATAGAGTAATTTACAGTAGTCTATTTATCTGTGGGAATATTTTGGAATATTTTCTGTGGTTTGGTTATCTGTAGCTTGAAAATCTTAGGTGAAAATTGTTTAAGAAATAAGCAATGCATAAGTTTTAAATAATTTTTTACACTATGTTGTTATAATTGCTTTGTTTTATTAGTAGTACTGTTAATTTCTTAGCAACTAAATGACAAATTAAACCTTATTATAACCTTATTATAAAAAATTTATGTACTAGAAAAAATGAAGTAAATCTAAAATGTGGTGATATATAAGCAGTTTCAGGCATCCTTGGAAATTCTTAGGATGTGTCCCCCATGGATAAGGGTCCAATTACTGTATAAAACTGTTTAAATGTTAACATTATTATCCTTGTTATAAATATTGAAAACATACTTGTTATTAATCACCTTTATCATAATGTCTTGCTTGATAATCCTTTCTGGGAATAAATTTTTTTAGCTCTAATTCCCCACTTCTTTTCAGGAAAATTATATATACAGCTTTTTATTACAGTTATCTACTATTAATTAGGTTTGACCTTTGCTCTGCTTCCCAAACTAAACTCTCCTAAGGCAGGGGTCTAATCTTGATTATTTCTGCATTGTCAATAATAATACATATCATAGAGACTTCCAAATATATATGAATGCATCTAAAATTAGCATGTGAAGGAAAATAATTTCTAACACTAATATTTATTCATCTTAGTCCTTTTAGACATTAATCTTCTTAAAGCTGCAATTTTTTCTAGTTATATAATTTTCTGCATATGTATTAATATTTTCTATAGTTCTGAG